TGATGCGCATGATTTTGTTCGGTAGCTTTTGCTTCTATGTCAGCAGTATGCTTTGCGAGCACCACTATCGCAACGTCGTCGACGAATCCAATACTTATTGTGCTGGTGGGCAGCTGCAACCTCAGGACGTCGTCATACATGATGTGCCATAAGAGAGGGCCAAGAACTGACCCTTGTGGGATGGCTGATGATATTTTATACCGTTCTGTGCTGTTGTCGCTTTCATACACCAACGTACAGTCCGACAAGTAACTCTCTATGGTATCCTATACATACCTTGGGACCCGCGCTCTTATAAAGACCTTGCGGACAGTTCCCCATCCACCGAGTTAAAGGCGTTTTTCACGTCCAGTATAATCAGGGCACAGTATTTCTTGGCGCCACCTTTCCACCTATCCCCGGCTATGGCCTCGGACGCCAGCGTCACTACGTGTTTTATGGCATCTATTGTTGAACGCCCCTTTCTGAAGCCATACTGGGTATTAAATAGGGCACCATTTTCTTCGACTACTCACAGTAGACGCTCCAGGAGACGTAGGCCTGTATGACGACGGGTCAGCCGATGGCTTGTTACTTTTTGGGATCAGCACCAGCCACTGCATTTTCCATTTCTTTGGTAAGACTCTCTCTCTGAGGCACTGTTGCATAAGCTGGGCAAATATTTCAGGCCTTACCCTAATCGCTGCCTTCAGGGCTTTATTAGGGTTTCCGTCCGGACCTGGGGCTTTTTGTTGCCAATTCTTTTGCCGGCCGGTGGCTCCTGCTTCCTTCCGAAGAAGTCCACCGCTACGTATAGCGGCTTTTGTGGGAAGAAATTTGCCACAATTTTACTCAGCATGGCACGTGACTTGTGGCCGACCGTGCCGTTTAAGTTTCTTGGGAACCACTTATACGCGATTCCCCACGGGTTGACGTCAGCCTCTCTGCAGAGAGCCTCGAAACAACTTCTCTTGCTGCGCCTTTCTTCAGGTCACCACGTAGGCACTTATACGCGTGGACCCGGCTGTCGAAGTCTAGCCTCCCCCTCGATCGCTGAAGCAATTTTCTGACCTTAAGTCATTCCTTCCTGGCCGAACTTATTTCCGAGTTCCACTAGTAGCGCGGGACGCTTTTATTGCACGTTCTTCTCCTAGCCATTGACGCGTCGCATGCTTCGTTTATAGCGGTATACACTTAGTGTATGAGCAGCTCCGTTGTATCACCGTTTATCACGCGGGAAGAGAATGTCAGTCTGAAGGTTTCTTCGTCGAACGACGTGTCGTTGTACTTCGGACCGCTTTGCGTTAGGCCTCTATCTGCTCTGCCTCGCCGAGCTGCGACCTCTTTAAAGATGGCTTAGTGGTCGCTGCCCGAGTAGCCTTCACTGAGCGTCAACCTGCACTTTGGCATTAGGCTATCGCTCACAAACGTGGTATCGATCATTCATCCAAAGCCTGCTTTCTTGAACGTGTGTTGTTGCCTGTCGTTCGTCAGCGTCAGTAGTGGCATTGCAATCGTTTCCAGTAGGGCAAGGCCTCTAGCATTGGTGATTCTACTGCCCCATTCCACCGACCAGGCGTTAAAGTCCCCCGCGATTATGACCAGTGGTTTGTTGCGGGCATCCGCACACTAGATCATCCAACATGTTCAGGAACTCTCCCTGCGTCCAGCTTGGAAATGCATACCAAATGTAGCAATGAGTGCACCGAGCTCTCGCACTCGCGTAGCTGTTGGGCTGGACGCTTTCATCCAGGAGTGCAGAATCCGGTGACCAGATTGTTGCTTTCCCTGCTGCATCGGCAATTCATCCGCCATGGCTCATGCTTCTGAATGGTTCACTGATCAACACCAGGTCTACTTTCTCTTCTATGATCGTCTGTCTGAGCAGATCATAAGCTGTCTCGCCGTGATTGAGATTAATATGCAATATACTTCTTTGCGTCCTCTAGCATCTAAAACGCGTTTGAATAACGGGAACTTACTGCTCCCCGCTATACGATTAATGTCCGCGTTTAGCATACCTTTACAGGAAAAGCACAGGGGATCATTGGAGCACACTTTTGCGATGTGCCCATCTTCTCCGCATCGTCGGCAGACCACTGATCATTTGCATGTCCCTTTACATTGTTTGGCAATGTGCCCGAATTCCAAGCAGCGGCAACACTTCGCCAGTGTTCTGTGCTCTCTTAGTCGATACACCACCCAGCCTACTCTTAGTTTGCCACCAGCGAGCAGCTTGTTGGCTTCTTCTTGCGGCAGGCTGATTATTACCGTTTGCGTGCCCCCGTAGGCCTTTCTCAAGCTGACTACCTCTTTGTTTGCCAGCCTATATTGGCTCTTTATGACTTCGTAAATATCCTCCCTTGAGGTGATTTCGTAGATATCCCTGCGCTCCACTGTACCGCGTTGCATCAGGCTTCTAACCGCCGTCTGGTCACCTAATAGGAAGCTCGCTACATTCTTCAGCTCTTCCATTTTCTCTCCATTTCTGTTCAATTGCAGCAGGAGGTCGCCGTTCTGCATTCTCCTGATCTTGTAGACCACTTCGCCTAGTTGCTTCAGTTTGGGCTCGCCTTCAACCTTACGTAGAATTTCAGCGTAGGAAGCCTTGCCTCGCAGCTATAACGATGGCGTCCGGTTTCCCTCTACGGGCTTGCAGTTTGCGGTCCTTTTTCTTCCTGGCCGTCATTTGTTGCCAGTCCTCCCCGGTAGCCCGCGTACCTTGGTACTTATGGTGGGCTTCTGCGGGGACCCCTTGGACGCACTGGCCACGTTGCGACGCTTGGCAGTTGGTGCGTCTATATCACCGGGCTGTCTTCTCTGTGCGGCGCTTATCTTCGGGTCGGCGTCCAGAGCATCTTTCTTACTCACCCCTCGCAGGTTAGGAGGAGGGGTCGTTTGAGCGGCTTTATCGACCTTGTCGACCTTGCCACTCGGTTCGGCACTCGTCTAGTCCCTTAACAGCGCGCACTGCTGAGAGGCCATTCTGATGGCCTCAATGGCATCTCTCATGGCTTGTTGAATGGACCGCCTTTTGCCGTCCTCCAACATTTCCACCCGTGCCTCTAAGTGGTGACCCAGCCTTACAAAGGGTGCCGTGTCCCCCGCGTCTGTCTTAGACACTCTCCTTAGTTTGGTAGGCGACTGTGGCTGGGCTTGGCCGCCAACCGGCGATCGCAGCATTCTGCTACTCGCCATAAACGGGTTCTCGTCGCTCAGAGCACTGGCGTGAACTCCACTGTCTGCTTTTTTTGTCGAACCGGCAGACATCGGTGTTGCTATTTTGGTTTTATTTATGTTGACATTCATCTTTTATTTTATATGGACCCCAACAGGGAAGCCGCTACCCGGTTCCGCTAATGTAGTTGCTGTTAGGACCCCATGGTTATCTTTGCGAGCAGTGAGGCCATATAGTGGGTTGACGCTGGCCCTTATGAGACTAGCGTTCAGTGCCAGGTTCAGCATTAGCTAGGGGTTCTTCTCAACTAGGCCTACACCCACCAACTTAGCGGTGCGGCCTAGAACGTACTTCCCAGACTTGTCATAATTTTAACAGGGCGGGGGCGGTGCCAGCATTAGCCCGAAAACCATTTCGGCTGGATGTCACTCCAACCTACTCAAGTAATGGAATACTGCCACCACCAGCTCAAAATCATCGAATCAAACAAGTGTTCCGGTATGCCATAATCAAGACCTTACCGGGCTCCGTCTTGATGCCTATCTCTAGGCTTCGCAGAATTGTCTCTCTCGGTGCCACCCCCATAAGGGTGGGGAGCACCTATTCCAAGGACGGCGCTTAGTCGTGCTGTCACCGAAGATTCGCGGGGTTATGCGGCCTTTTCAGCCGCCCCTCCTCTTCTGCCGCTCTTGGTCGGGGACCGCTTATTGGTTATTCGCAGCTAACCTACAGATATACCCTTGGGTACACGCAGGCCGATCACTATCCGCCACCTGTGCCCCCACAGTAGCCTGAGCTTAGCCCTGTGTATGTATGTATATTTATATGTACATATATGTATGGTATATGTACATATATGTATGGTATATGTACATATATGTGCATATATGTGTATATATGCATATATGCCAATTGTCGCCTCTAGATTAGTCTTTTTTTCTTTCACTCACTTGCACAGTATTGTCGATATTTTACAAGTAAACGTTTGCATTAATCGCAATACTGTAATAAAAAATTAATACTTAAATGCGCGTATATAATTTTAACCGGTTACTTGATTTCGCGGTTATCTATTGCATAAATCCATTGACACTTTGACAAAGTTGATGAAAATGGTTGAAAACTCCATTGTAAATTCTGTATCAATTGACTGTAGAGAGTATGCCAAAAGAAACATCAAATGACAAAGAAAGACGAATGTCCCTTAAAAGCTGAAGTCTAAGGAGAAATTAAAGAGTGGTTTCATTATTAGTGTTCTTAATACTTAAAACAATCGAAATTAATTACACTGAAATTACGTTTGAATGAATATTTAATCTTTATCTGGGCTGCAGAAGTTTTTGTTTAAATTAAGAATAGCTTTTGAAACAGCCTGAGGTATGTCACGTATGTGTATATAAAGGAGTATGTGAAAGCGATTTGAAATGAAATTACATTTAAAACATCTTTGGGGTAACTTTTACAACTTTTGTTGTTAGGTTTTTAAATTTTATCTCAAAAAATGAATATATTTTGCCAATTATTTTTCCTTATTTCTTGATTTGAGATTTATTCTTTATGTTTAATAAAATTCAAATTTTCAAATTACATAACGTAGAGTTTATTCAAAATATGAATTGAAAATATTTCGTTTCCTAAACTAAACTTATTGACTATAACTTTCTTATTATGATTAACAATATAATTCTAAAATCTTAAAAATATATTTTTTCAAATTATTGCCCACGTTTTGTTTTTGTTTCTTTCCTTAATTTGTTGTTTTTCTTTTGTATCACACATCAAATATATTCAAATATATTTAAACTACATACATACATAGATAAATATATCAATAATTGGTAAAAATTTGCTCCTGCAATTTAAAATTTGACATAAACATGTAATTTACATAAATTGATGTAAATTTTTGAATAGTTGCTATTATGTTGGTGTCATTTCTGACGCTTTTGTGATTCTAAATATGTAGCGGTGAATGTAAGTAAGCGATGACGTTGCTTAAGATTACGAGCGCGCACATGGGCTGAGTTAACCTCTTCTGTATAACTGCCTGGAAACCAGCCAATAGCACCGTCACGTATACGTTCGCCATGATACCAACCTATTTAAGAGACGTAAGCGTTGATTATTTTTGTTCATTATGTGAGCATAAAAAGTCAATAATAATTTTGTTTTACCATCTGGTAACTTGCGAGTTACATTAACAACGTCACCTAATTCTAAGTTAAGCACGTCGGGTTCGTGAGCTTCGTAAGGATGTTTGGTTATAACTTGCGGACAATCCCACTGTTCATAAAGTTTTTCGCCAGGTGTCTCAGCTTCTGGAGGACGCATGGCTTGCAGCCAACGTTCTTGCTCGGATACCGAAGGACAAGAAAGTATCTATCAGAATTTTAAATTTATAACTCTTTATTTAAATGATTTGTTTCATTATTTCTTACTCACCAACTCCACTGTTTTACGTTCATGGTTTTCGAGCAGTGTCATTAAAATTAGGTTTTTCGATGACTGACTATTTAAATCTTTGGTAGGTAATTGCGGTAGTGAATCGCCCGACGCTATGGTTAACATACTGCGGGGACAATAATCAAATACTGAAAAATTCTCCTCGCCTTTGCGTTTCGTCAGTACCAGTAAATCGGAGAAAAGAAAAGCGTACACATTGCTTTTAGTAAATTTCTTGCCGAATGTCAGCTTAGCCTCATCTCCTCTCCAAATAAGCTGCGTTAACTCGCCTTTTTTAACTAAATAACGTGGCTTCGATCCTGGTGCAGCTACACCGGCTGGTGCTATAGCCAGTGGTCTTATTAAAACTGCATTAAACTCCAATTGTCTGGATATTTTTTCTAGTTCGTAGGCTTGCTCACATCGATTCGCTGCATCATTGCATTGCGCAACGACTTTATTCATTATAGCTAAACACATTTTCCAGCTTTCATACTCGTCATCGTTTGGATGACATTTACTGAAAACGGCGTCGATTAGCAATGGTAAACGAGTAATGCGCTGCATCGGCAACATTAAGAATGAGTGTAAACTGAGACCACAACTGGTGGGATTCGATTCGAGCAGATCCAAATTTTGACTAAATAGACCTTTGGCTTCTCTCAGACATTTTAAAGTGCGATCCATGCGCCCTTGATTTTCACAAAAAATTATGTAAACGTGGAAATGTTTTTCGGCTATAGCATAGATATGTTTGCTAAGCCCTCCCAACATGATGTTATCCTGCCAGCAGGATTCCAATTCTGTAAGTAATTTCTCCGAACATTCATGCACTGGTACTATGTGGGCGAAGAGAGATTTGCGATCGCGTGAGTTAAGTATATTTGTGTCACGAAAAACGGGATGATTAATATAGTGTGTTCGCAAAAGACTTAAGGACTTGAGATAACTCGCCTCAGACGTTATAATTTCGAATTTGGCTTCCATTAAGGCACGTTCGCGGGCAGTTAAGGTAGCTGGACGGAGATAAAAAATTAATTTGACATTATAATTGACTATAAAATCTTAAAACTTACTTAAAATGCAAGATTTGATTACTTCAGGTATTTCACACCATAATGTACGGGCTGGACCACATTTCGGTTCAACCAATTGCAAAGCAGTGGGCCGATTAAATTTGCGTTCACTTTCTAAAGATTTACGGGGACTTGTATGACGTTGATCCCCGATTTCTTCATACCCATCAGTTGAACTGTTATCTTGTTCTTGCTCCATATCTCGCGATATAGCTTCTAATTTGGCGGCACTGTATATCTGATATAATGGTTCATTGCTAAACATGCTGTATGACATGTCGTCGTTTGGTGCTGCTTCATTACCCGTTGACACTCCACTAGAACCACTCGAGCTTGCCACTGACAAACCGCTCGTCTGATATAAGCCAGCTTCTTCATACCATGAAGAGCCACAAGCAATGGTGCTTCCCGAAGTCGACAGGCTTAAAGGATTATTACTGTTTGCGTGTGGGTTATCTCTTCCTAAATTAGTGGTCTTCCCATTTTTGAATACACCGCATTCGGCGTACCAAGACGTGGCATTAACCGTCGGCGGACTACTTCTACATGAATTATCAGGCGGTGGTGGTGGCGGTTCATGAGGTCTTATACCTATGGTGGTACGTCGTCGATTACAAATGGCTGATTTTGCTTCCTTTTTTGCTTTACGATTAGTTGTACAAATTCTTACTCCTTCAGCCCTAAGAATAGGCGTTTTCGTATCAAGTAAATTTGTTGGCAAGTCTCCAGAGGAGGCCTTTTCAGAAAAACCTGAATCCATTTCGCCTGGATGGTCCTCCAAATTGCTAGGATCTTCGATATAAAATGTACTACGTGTAGGCGTTAGAGTTGCTAATGGCTGCTTGTTGTCGAAACCTACTAAACTTTTGCGTATACGCGATCTCAAACTTTTATTAGTTTTCACTTTTGCACGAGGTGTAGTTGCTGTGTTATGAGATTCTGTAGTGGTCACTATACTTTGTGCTACTAGTAGATTTTTCTCCGAAGTGCTTAATTCTTTGGTAAGAGCCAATGATTTTGATTCTATTGCAGAATGATCTGAAATACATTTAGTCGGTGCGTTTGAAGCGGAATAATTGGTATTTACATAAAATTGGGTTGAATTATCGTAGATTTTTTGTTTTGATCCGTTCAACGACTTTTTGTTGACTATAAAATTTTTAAACCTCTTAACGATAGCATACATTTGATTAGTGTTCGACGGAGGATCCGGTAATTTCATATTGTTTACATCTACGCCACTATCGTTGTGCGAATTTTTCAGATTTTCACGTAAGTAAATTTCCTCAACATCAGTATCAAAGGAATCGTAATCATCGGTTATATTTTGGCCCAAAGTCTGAGCCGAGTATGAGAACTTCTTGCCATGTTGCGATACTAGAATCTCGTTACGCTGCAGACTGCCGATCGTAGCATTGCTAACTTGCAATTGCATGGAGTGGCGTTTCGTAAGCACTTGTGGTGAAAGCTTTTCATAGTAATGGTCGGAATCCTCTAGAAAGGAAAAAAGAAAAAAACCTTATTTTGGTTGTACCACGCGTGACGGTTTGTTTTACACATTCGTAAAAGAATTTCTGATTTGAGAGAGAGAGAGAGAGAGAGAGAGAGAGATAGAGAGCGAAATAGATAGAGATAGAGAGAGAGAGAGAGAGAGAGAGAGAGAGAGGGAGAGAGAGAGGGAGAGAGAGATGGCCTGATGGCCTTTCATCAGAAAAGAAAAATTGAAGCAAAAACTGGTGAAAATCCAAATAAGCCTAAAATGATATGATTCAGGGTTGGAACACACGAAAGAATCCTCAAAAAATCTAATCTTTCGGTTTGCAATGATTCAGACAACGATTCTAAAACGACCAATTTAATAAAAGGTCGAACTAATTTAAGCAGATTTGAATATTGCAAACATCCATACGAACATAGTCTATTTTACATCAAATATGACATAACGTACAATGACTGTCATTTAAGTAATACCAAGTTTTCGTAGAAATACTAAAAATGGTTTACGATGATTCTTGTTCTTCAGATATATCGAAAATGGTTAAAATTTATCGTTAAAATTGTTATGTACATAAATGCAAGCTTTACGATCTGATGTTGTTCGGCTTCCTAGGACGTCATGTGTGAAAGCAACATGAACAATCAAAAGTATTGACGACCTCGTTAAAGCAAAGTTTTTCTGGAACTAATTTAAATAACGTGGACGTTCGCATAAATTGCCTAATTTTGAGTCAATAACGTTGCCTTGTTCGAATTGACATAGTTTCCCGATCTTAATCCTATTGAATACTTTTGGATTATTATGAACATAAGTTAGATCGTAACCACCAGCCTATTATGGAAAGAAGCCTTAAAAAATATGTTAATGTAAGAGTATATATATGCACGCTTTGTTGGTGTTCTAAAATGAAAAAGTAAGCTCGCTAATTACTGATATTTTAATTTTACATAAATACACGTTATACTAATTCAGAAAACAATATCATTTAAATTTTTTATCATAGAAACCAAAAATACGGGATGAGTTAGGGCGGTCGGTCAGCGATTTGCGCCATACGCACTAAATGCACTTCCGAGTGCTCTCACATTTGAAAGAAACGCGGACAGAAATCTACCGCCATTTCTTTCGAAACAGTGACAAATAATACGCGAAGAACGCGCAAATTAGCGGCGCTAAAGTAAATTGACCACCAGACGATGCATTTTTTACAGAGGGGACTTTATGAAAGTTTTTAGTATATTTGAAGCACTTTTTTCTAAGCTATCACGACACGAATTTTCGATGCCAGTGAATAGCTTATACAAATTTTTATTTATCATACATTTTAATTAATCTTCAACAGAGTGAATGAAATTATTCGTCCTGAATGGTATATGCACAAAAAATTTATCTCGATATATCCTACAGGTGTCATATAGGCGTGATACATTATTTTCAACCTTTTTGTCTTCTTTCAGAGTTATTTTCTTTCTTAAGTCGTTCGTGAATCTAACATGCATTAGGAATTCAAAAATTTAGATGTTAAGAATGTGACGGGTAGACGAAGAACAGAAAGACGTGGCTATATGGACTCACGCTAATCGGAGATCTATTTACATTTTTCATGGAACCCTTAATGCGGTCTCTTTGCATATTATAAGCACGATGAGAAAATGAATGCACGTACATCCTGTACTAATGATATTTTATACAAAAGTTAAACTTTTTAATCCCTTATCATTAACATTTTTGAGTACTTGTCAAAGGGTTTTTACTGTTAACGCACCTATAAATGTGCTCATCATCATGCTCTCACGGGTCTCATCCACTTCGGCTATTGTGGCACGTATAAAAGTCATGTGGATACATTGCTTTTCGCGTGATTGCTGTCGGTGTTTGTGCGCGTTTCTTGAACAAATTTCTGTTTTTACTTCTGCCTGCTTAAAAGCATTGAGGCTGCGTCTCGGTGGCAGCAAAATATTACTGCATTCTTCCTGTCTCGCCTTGATAGTCTGATATAAAAGTTTTTGGACATTGTTAGCATTTCCAGGCACATCTTGCTGAAGATCACCATTCAAATAAACACAACTTGCCGGACATGTTATTGAAACTTCACCCGCTGCACGAGGGCGTCGTTTACGTGGCAATATACGTAAAGTATTATTACGACTGGATGTTATAGTTATGCCAGTAGCCGTTGCTCTTACTTCCTTAGTATTCATTTTAATTCCATGGTTTGTTTTGCTATAACTGGTTTTTAAAGATATTTCTTTTATTTTTCTTATTTAAATTCTTCTTTTTTTTTACTTTTTCATTACAATTCGCTCTTCATCTCTTTTCTTTGTATATTTTGTCCGTTCTACAACTAGATATGGAAATGACTCAGACAAATTATTTAAAATCATTCAGGTTTATTCATATATTTACTTACTGGACTTTTTTTTTTTAATGGATAATAGATATATAAGGGAAATATGTAGAGGTACACATACCCTCATGTGTGTTATTAACTATTTGTTAATTGAACTCAATTAGCTCTACATTTTTTGCTTCTTTATATTAATTAATAATAAAATTTTAATACTTTAGATGAAAATTTAATTTTCCATAAATTAAAGACTTTGATTCGTTGTATTTACATTATTTACATTTCACAATATTTGGTTGGCTTATGTACACATATATATATATATATATATATATATATATATACGATGTTTATTTATACTCAACCCAACCGAAGACCGGTTGATTTTGTGTCTGTTATGTTGCGTCTACTTGAAACACAAAGCTACAAACAGAAATCTGTCACTGACCGATTGGATACTTGCTTTAACTATATTTAGCTGCAGTTTGTTTTTATCTATAGTCATTTCAGTATTTGTCGGTGTTTGTAATAAATCATTTTACAAAAAAAAAAACAAATTTTATCTCAAATATTGGGCTTGTATCGAGTTTTTTACTCTCGACATCATTTTTATATCCATGTGTGATAATCTAAAGACATATAGATTGGATAGGTCCTAAGCTAGATATTTACTAAACGATTTGCGTTTGTGTCAAGCTTGTTTGTTTTCTACCTCTAGGAATGGGGGTTGAGATCTCAAAAAATATCGTGGTTGGAATTCCCTTTTTTACTCAGAATACTACACATCAATGCCTTATTATTGTCGCGTGCTATAGTAGTTTTCAATTAGTCTACGTTACGATTAGGACTTGTGAGGTCAAGAAAGTATGTCTGCATGCTATTTTATAGTAAAATCATGGGCAAGTAGTGGCCATTTATATGCAAGCAGTTCGGGGCACGGCATGTTACGTTACAGTTATGCGATAGCATGTCCTACTACTATGTGTCCATATGTTAAAACCGTGGTTTCAAAACTTTTTATGGAGAATCATACTTAATGTAAATTTTTTTTCATAATTTTGACTAGGTTAAGTTTGAATAGCAGCAAAATGGTGGATTCGCAATTTTTATACCCTTTACCGAAGAATGAGACTTATATCCGCTTTGTCAAAACATTTGCGGCGTCTGGAAGAAAGCTTCACAGACTGTACCAAATCAAAAATCGATTTAAGCAGGTCCGTCTGTCCATCTTAGTAATATCTGTTGTAAACATTCTCCTGGTCGCAAAAATGAAGCTATCGAATTTAAATTTGGCAGAAACATTGGAAGTTCTTGCACACAGGTTGCTGTTGAACATGCACTAAATCGGTCGAAGAGCAGACCTGCAGTACCATGTAAACTGAAAAGTAATATAAAATTGGTTTTTTGTTCATTACTCGTAAACTGTAGTGTATAAATGTACACAAATTTGAACGCACATTCTATGGGCGACGCTGCATTACTTATACAAAAGTAGGAAAAATTGACCGCAGCTACCCAATATTATAGTAAATAATAATTTCAATTTTTTTTTCAATACCATTATAAACCACAAGCGAGCTTCAAAAATCCAATAAAATATATAAATTTTTGGCCAGTTTCCGCATGTCCGTCTACCCAACTACGTTGTATCTGTGATAAACATTTTCTTGTTCGTAAAATCTAAATATCGCGTACAAAGATCCAAAAGAATTTGAAAATGATCTCAACCGATCAAAGGACATGCTTACAACGTCCCCACCTCTATGTTACAAAAGCTATGTACACCTTTGTGTTCCGTTTTTTGCTTGTTACTCATAAAGCGCAACATGTACACCCTATAAATTTCTACTTCTATTCTGAAAACAATAAAAATCATCCGCGCCCATCCTATATTATAGAGTATAAAAATTTAATTATTTTCCTTCTTTTCAGTCGCGTGTTGGCTATAAAAGATTCGGCCATGACCGAATATTTTCTTACTTGTTTAATCTTATCATGGTGCCATTCTTATTGAAAAGTCTATTAATACTTTGTGACAGGGATATAGTTGGATCCATTTCCAAAGTTTACGTCTACAAAGAAAATAAAATAATTGCTATTCAATCTCCTATTAACTATTTTATATTCTTAAGACTGGGAGAAAAGAGTTGTAACAGGTTTTCATCTTTCTGTCGTTTCTCTTTATTTTATTTTTTCGATATTCCCTCAGCGACTTTAGTCTTAAGCAGAAGAGTTGAAAGTTCTCTTGTTTAAAGGAAATCACTACAAGTCGCGCTACACTAACAACTAATTGTCTTTGCGAACATTGTTAAACATTACAGTAATGTATTGCTGTTGATGTTATTGTTGTTTGCTCTACATACGTACACTTGAAGAATTGTTTTTTTTCTTCTCTCTTTTACAAATTGTAACGCCATTAAGTCAATGATTTATGATTTATATGCAAGGTTAAATAATTAAGAGCATGAAATTTTAAATTTTTATTTGTTTACTTTCCTACAAAGTATCTCTGAGACAATTGAGATAACGATAGATTATAGAGCATATAAGAACTTTATTGAAAGAAAATGTAAGAAAAAAACAGGCAAAAATTGGAATAGATGGCTACGAGGTGTCATTACATATCCTACAGCGTTCACTTGCTTAATA